TTGTAGTCAACAGGGAGACATGGCATTTTGATAGAAGGCTCATCTCATGGAATAGGTGACTAAAAATCCTTTGAAAGATTGGTGCCCTGCAAGGGTATGGATTTTATTTTGGTTTGGGGTTTTTTATCACCTGTAAGAGCAATCTATAAGCAGCTCAGATTCAGATGTCTAAAATTGGACAAGAATTTGGTTAGAGCTGAATCTGTCTTTGTTTTGCTGGACTATGTGAAAAAACCAACTAACCTTTAACTTGGCTTGGTAGAAACTGAAAATACATTGTAGGCTCTCATATCAGTATATTTGGTTTTGTTTGTTTTTTTCTCCCAGCAGCAACACTTCTTTGATGATGAGGACAGAACAGTTCCAAGTACACCAACTCTTGTAGTTCCACATCGTACAGATGGGTTTGCAGAAGCCATTCAGTAAGTAGATGTAAAGGGGGAGGGGGGAACCCAAATCACCAAGATAACTATTTGTCAATGGAATGAAAATAAATTCAAATTAAATGAACTTGTGATTGGAGTAATGTGCTAAAACTTCCTAGTAGTATGGTAGATGACTGCATCTACAAATAAGTGATCATTTCAATTGTGTGTCATAACTTACTAGCAAATTAGGAGGCAGATAATCTCTAATGTATTGTAATTTACTGACTTGAGATGAAGTAAAAAAAAAACACAGGTTCTTCTATTTAATTTCCTTCCCTGCTCCTCCCTCTCTTTCCCCCCACCCTGTCAATATTACCAGTAAAAGCAGGAAAAATTATCCCCATTTTTGGATTTGGGATGGTTCTGGACACATTTAGCAATCCACTTAAAATTGTGAGAATTCATAGGTTGAAGAATAGTCTTCAGGACTGTTTTACTGATTTTGAATATAGTCCGAATAAGTTTGAGAAACTAATTGCTATTTAATTAGCAGTAGTTTAGCTGATTTTTATGGTCAGTGTTAATTAATTCTGTCTTATGTATAATTTGTGCTTTTGTTTTGGTCAAAAAGTTGTCCTCTCTTTAAATTCCTGCAAAATTCCTTCAATCTTTATTTCAATAGTTCCCCTCAGGTAGCTGGTGTTCCTAGATTCAGATTTGGACCCCCTGAAGATATGCCACAAACTAGTTCAAGTCATTCTGATCTTGGTCAGCTTGCATCACAAGGAGGTAAACCATTTCTGTACTTCCATGGTTGTTAAGAATGAAAACCAAATACTGCAGTTAATAAAATGCAGTTCCACTTCTGGTACTGGAAACCTGCAATGCTTAAATAATTGTCAGCAGGGAGAAGACTAATGGAAAGTGAAAAGGTGTTTCCTTGAAGCTGCTACATTTCTACTTGTAATATGGTTCAAAAAGTAGAATGATTCTGTGGTTTTATGAACCAGAGAAACTGAAATTTTAAGTAGGACACATTGCCTGCTAGACACGAGAAACTTCATGTAAAGAGAAATGAAATATGAAGGAATGGTTTTTAAGTTGAATTTTACTGTTAATTGTGGATTTCCTGTAGTAAAACAGCAAATGTAGAGAAATCTTTGGGATATATCCTCAGCTGCTAGGAGATAGCCAAGCAATTTAGTCTGTATTGTCTTTGTTGTTGTCCTGAATCAGTCCCTTTCCCCTGCATCTCATGTTAGCATGGAACAGTATGCTATTCATTGAAGAATGCTCACAGTAAAATAATGGCGTAAGAGAAGGATAAAAGTAAAATAAATAATATTATTTTCATCAAGGTTTTACCTTTCAATAAATCATAATCAGCCTTGACAGTCAAAACAAAATAACAAAAATCTCCATATTTAAGTACAAATCACTGGGTTCCATTAAGTGTACAGAAGGAAGACAGTAGTTAATCTGTTTTTTTAGCTGGCTATTTTAATTGTCACTAAAACTTTGTGTTGCAGGTTTAGGCATGTATGAAACCCCTCTGTTCCTTGCTCATGAGGAAGAATCAGGGGGTCGTAGTGTTCCCACAACACCATTACAAGTAGCAGCACCAGGTAAGTGGCAAGAAACTTGCAGGCTGAAGTAAAGGCTGCAAACCTTGACTTCTCAGAAAAGAATTAGATATTGTTGCTACAGTGCTTATTGTTATGCCTTGAGTATTCCAGTAGCCCCTTCCCTTATCTGCCTTTTAGATTTCCATAGATTTTCTGTAGAAATAAAAACTAACTCAGTGTTAATTAAACTACCTTTCCTGTACAGTGACAGTTTTTACTGAAAGCGCATCAGCGGATGCTTCCGAGCACGCTTCTCAGTCTGTTCCAATGGTTACAACATCTACTGGCAATCTGTCCACCACTACAGAGGCTGGAGTGGGTGATGATGGGGATGAAGTTTTTGCAGAGGCAGAATCTGAAGGGTAAACTATGATTTGTTTGATTCACTACAACTTGATGTCATGTTAGTTTTAATGATTTGTTTTCATCCAGGTATGCCTGTGATTCATTTTCAATTTAACCTGTTCTGAGAGGTAGGACAGATCAAACAGGATTTAGTAATTTTGTGAAGTAGTACAATCTGACCCTTTTGTCTAAAACCAAAGATTTTCTTCTGATTTACTCTCTCTGACTTAACAGAGGTAATAAAAAAGTCAAAAAAATCTGTATTTCTTAATGCAGAGTGCTCTGCAGTAGTCAAATACTGATGGTAAATACCTCAGTTTGAAGGACTAGGGTTTGAATAATAAAGATGAAAGCGTTCCTGTTAACGACGAAAACACTCCGTATTACAAGCAAGCATACCTAATGAAGTCATTCAGTTAAGGCAGTGCAAGTACAAAAGATGAGGAAAGGGAATAAATAGTACTTAAGAATTTGATAGACAAATTATTTGTTTTCCACTTTGCAAGTGCAATTTTAGATATTTACAATAATTTCTATATTTCGTATTATGATCAAATATTGCAGATCTAAAAGGGGATAGGTTATAATTTTATTCCTCCTATTTTTTTTATTATTTTTTTTTGCTGAGCTTTTTCAAACTATGTGAATACACTTGTATGTTTTTCCTCACACTCCTTCTCTTCTAGAATTACGTCAGAAGCAGGCTTAGAAATTGATAGCCAGCAAGAAGAAGAATCTGTTCAAGCATCTGATGAGTCAGATCTTCCCTCGACTAGTCAAGATCCTCCTTCTAGTTCATCTGCAGGTACAGGTTAATTGCTGGAAACAGTTGTTTCATACCATTTTATTAAGTGTGGGACCTTTTTGGACCAGCACCATGCACTGCTGATAGCCAAGATACACAAAATAAGATAGAACTCTTACAGCAAGATCATATTTTGCTGCCTATAGTCTTAATGGCAAGCAATTTTCACTTGGACTGCAGTAACTAGAGTAGGCCGTAGTAAGAATAATGCTTCAAGGAGCAAAAGTTACTGATATTTCAGTGATTCTATCCACTGTTGTATTTGATGTCAGATTTAAAATATTTTTTCATTCAATTAAATAATAAAAGAACAGTAGGTAAGTCACGGTTGAGTTAGCAAAAAGAAAGTACCACCAAACATGCTTGCTTTGAGGCTTTTATTTGTATCAGAGATGATGTCAATGAGATAAGGATACACCTTCATAATTTTAAAGTAAATTTGAAAGCTTAATGTGTATCAAATAATGTAAACACTGACAGTGAAAAACTGTATGAGACAGACATTCTTTTCTGCATTTTCACTTCTTCACAGACACAAGCAGTAATCAGCCTAAGCCATTTCGACGTGTTAGACTTCAGCCACCAACATTAAGAACTGGTGTTCGTGGTCGTCAGTTCAACAGGCAGAGGGGTAAGTGTTTGAGGCTGTTCAAATTCAGACCTTTTCAAACAAGTTTTTAGTACTTCCTGTGGGGACCATATATGAAGTAATACTTTATACACCTGTGTTCACTTGTAAGACACTGAATAACACAGCATCCCTGCCCTTGCCTTCACTGTGTTACCCTAAGAGCTCTGCGATTTTGTTTTAGTATGTTAGTCTGAGCATGTTTTAGAGAGGCAAACTTTCTATTTACATGGCACTTGGGTTTTATCAGTGGAGAGAAAGTAAATTGCAGTAAATCTTAAACTTGGCAAAGTTTTAAAGGAAAATTTTAAAAAATATTAGGACATAAGTTTAGAAATACTTGGTTTTAACATTACATACTAGTTTCCAATTTGGTACATTAAGGGTTCCGTTTACTTTATCACTGTGTCTTACACTGATTTAAAAAAAAAAAAAAAAGAAGAGCTTATGGAAGTATTACAGATTTACAAATTTTGTAATACAATATAGTTAACTAAAGCAGTAAATTACTGCTTGCAGCTTTGGTGTTAAAAATGCTTACATGCATTATATTCAGTTTGGCACCATTTTAATATTGTAGATACTAGCATTAACATGTAGGTATCTTGTGTTTTAAAACAAAAATAAAAGTGAGGAGCTGGACCTAGGATAGATTTTTCTTTCTATCATCATTTCTTTAATGACAATAGGGAGGGACTAACTGATTTCAAATATGGTAAGAATGTTGTTCTTTTGGCACAGGGCCTGAGATAGGATCACAAGTCAACAACACCCTTTTAAATCACAGAAATATAATGTATCCATATCACAAGGCTCTAGGGGAAGGTGGGGCAGAGGGGGGAAACTTCATCTGAAAGGAAGTGCTCCCTGCAGTAGCAATTCCTTACAGGAGAATGAAGTATCACATGTATCAATGATTGATTTAAAAGGTGAAAAGGATTTCTATTAATGCATTTGTTTTCTTTCCCAACACAGGTGTAACTCATGCAATGGGAGGCAGAGGAGGCCTGAACAGAGGGAATATCAGTTAAACGATCTGTAAAGTAATTACAGCTGTGTATACAAAAGTGCCAGTTTGCCTGTGGTTGTTTTAGTGTAATGAAGCCAGAGCTTAAAGCAGCATTTTATACTTAGATTTGTGTGCACACATTTCAATGTCTTTATTAATAAAATTAGACAAAATGTCAACATTCAAATGGCATCTTTGTTTTTAAATCCTCTGCTGTGCATCACTTGCTAGGGCAGTTGTACCAGTCTTTGGATACAGTCTTTCCTGTGAGAGCAGTAACAGGTCTTGCTATTCTTTTGCCAACATCCAAACTGTAGTACCGATCTGAAATGAAGATATGTCAGAATTAAATTCCAGAAACTGTTTAGTACATGGAAAGAATCTTTTAAGTTAAAGCCTGCCTTTTAATTTAGGCATGAATAACAGATTTTTTTTTTTCATTCCACATATATATATGGGGTTGAGAGATTATAACTATGAATTTTTGTCCTCAAATTTATTTTTTATATGTCCTTCTTTGTATTTAGCTAAGTTTTACAGTACGGCTAACCAAGAAGAGGAAGTAGGGAAGAATGCTCTTATACTGCAATAACATAGCAATAGTCTATTTGGAAATCAGATAAACTAAAAACAAAACAATTTTGCACTGACTACAAGAGTGGGAATTCTGTGGTCCCCAAGTGTGAATTTGCCTATGTTAAGGCTAGGAGTTAGATCATACATCTCATCAGAGATTTACTTTAGTATCCTGTATTTGGATATGGCTAGTTTTTAACACTTTCTTTTTCTGAATAATCCAGAATATTCTAAGGAATGCTTTCACAGAAGTCAGTGAAAAAACTATCCGTGTGCAGTGGTCCAGGATTTCAATCTATTGTTAATGTAATACTGCATTTAAGTGTCAGGTTTTTGTCACTTTATAAGCCTGAACGCTTATGGCAATGCATTCTGCAACTGGCTAGTTTGAGTCATTGTACCTTGTTGCTGCTAGTTGTCCTGTAAGTGCTGATTATTTTTTTTAATAGAAATATCTCGCCTTTACAGGCAACATTTTAATTCTCAGGTCTGTTTAGTAGTGCTTGAAATTACTCTTGCAGAATCCCAAGCAATAACCTCGCACTTAAGAAAGCTGAGAGATTTGTAGGCTTCTCTCTTCCCCATCCCCTTAGTCTTTTGAGATACAAAATAACTTGCATTAGCTTTAACTTACTGTAAGAGAAGGCATAATAATCATAGCCATCTGGCTTATTGTAGTTGGGTAGTGATATAGTTGAATGAATAACTTTCGGGAGCCCTTTCCAGTAGGTGGTCATTTTGATTTCCTTACGCAAAACTCCTGCAAGCAAAAGAAAAGTTAGAAGGTGTCACAGTATGTCTGCTGTAAGTTATCATTTGCTTGTATAATCTACAGCAAGTGAGATCTATTGGATTAAAAATTTTTATAAGTACTACATTAACCCAGAATGTTATGTTTCAGAACTACTAAGATTAAAATGGTTGTATAAAAGAAACTTAATAAACGTAAGTTACCAGATGAATGTGGGTTGATTCTGACAGTCCGAATAACAGTTGGCATTCTTACTGCACGTTGAAAGCGTCTCCTTATTACAAGTCTTGGGACATAAGCTGGGTATCTTACAGTAACTTGGGTTCTTCTTTGACACTTCTTAGCTGGTTCTTGTCTGTACACATACTGTTGCATGTTGCCATCTAAAATAGATGTTTATTTCATTTGGTTAAAAAACAACCCCAAACAAACAAACAGAACCACAATCAAAAGAAAAACAAAAAACCAAACCACCAACTCTTATCAGATATGAAAATCATAGAATCATAGAATAGTTAGGGTTGGAAAGGACCTAAAGATCATCTAGTTCCAACCCCCCTGCCATGAGCAGGGACACCACACACTAAACTATGTCACCCAAGGCTCTGTCCAGCCTGGCCTTGAACACCTCCAGGGTTGGTGCATTCACAACTTCCTTGGGCAACCTATTCCAGTTTTATGTCTATTACGTGCAGGAAAGGGATAACATCATTTTAATACATCCACTACATTTTGAGAAAAGGCGGGGGGGGGGGAAACAACCACCTTGCTCCAAATCCAACATGTGCTTCTAGATGCAGTGCTCATTACAGTTACTGTAGCAAGTACAATGCCAGGGAAACTGCTTTTGCTGCCATGATTTCTATTTACCCAATCCTTGATAAGACCAGCATTTTAGGTTTCATGAGAAGAGGACTAGAGCCCAGAGAAAGGATTTACATTTCATTGGTGTATGGTTTTTAAATTCAGGTAACAATTCTTACATTGGCAGCACATCATGCATGTAAGATAAGGAAACACATTAATTTGAAACAAGAAATAAGAGAGGGAGATTTCCATTCGTAGTTATGAACTAGTAAGATTAAAGCCTTTCCTTCTCTAATTAACTTCAGGCTACAGTAATTTTACTGCCAGATAAAACTTATTCTAATATTTTCCTGGATTCTATCCCTTACAGTCCTCTCCCTTTTAAAAAGCACTCGAATACAAATTTTTAAATCTTCAGGGTATTTTTTGACCACCTAGTTAAGAGAAATTATGTTTTAATTCCTAAGGCAATGCAAGCACCTTTTGATCATATCTGAATTTCTGAAATATGAAGCATACCTTTTTTGATAAAATAAACAGATTCTGGTCGATTGTTGTATCTTGCCACAGGGAGGGTTGCTACTATTTTTCCACTTAGCCCTGCAAATCCATTTGCAAGAGGTTTGGGATAGCCTTTATCCATAACACCGTTAGTGAAACGCCAGTACAGGGGACCCTAATGATTAAAGGAAAAAATGATCTTTAGAGTAAATTCATTCTTGGTAATTGAGTTTCAACACAGACATAAAAAATAATCATAACACCAGCATTTTGATAACTACACTTTAAAACTGACTGGAACTACTACTACATTCATTAAAAACGGGGAAAAAAATGTAAAGAAATACCTTCACCAGTCTTTTAACACTGCCTTTCAGTAGGAAAAGCATATCTTAGAAATGAACTGTTAAGAGTAGTTACTGAACAAAGCGGTTTGCTTTCTAAATCTAGATTTTCATGGATAGAAAAAGCTGCTTGAATCGCAGGACGGAATGATTAACTGGGAAATAACTGTATAATATCTTTTATGACGTGTGTGCATTTCATTACCTTCTTTCAGGAAGGGAAATGTATTGGGAACAAATTTAGGCTATGTTTGGGCAAGAGAAAGGCATGATAAAGTACGTGTATTTTAAAAAGTTGGACTTCTTACGTGTGGCCCAATTACTTGATTTCTGTCAATGCTTTGTCTCCTGGCCAGTTACACGGGAAAACAAACACTGAATGTAGGTTTTCCCTGATAAGCGCCATCTCAAGGCTGACGTGGGTGAGACGGAAAAGACACTTCACCCACAGAGTTTCAAACCCACCACCCTGTTTGCAAATGCCGTTTGTTCTGTATCCACAACGCGATCAACGCAAAGCACTTCTTCTCTGGGGCTGCAGTTTTAGAGCTGACCCGCCCCACACCCCACCCCGGCTGCCCCCTGCGGCCGTCACGTTCGCTCCCCACCTTGATGAAGAAGGTCTTGCCATCGCAGTTGCACCTGGAGAAGACGGCGTCGATGGGGGACGGGATGCCCCAGCCGTC